GTTACGATGCCGTTCGGAAAAGCGCGCGGCGTTTCCGTACGCGCGGAATGCATGGCGGCAAAAACACGGGAAAAAAATGCCAGCGTGCGTCATGTGGGAGAAATGCAGCGGATGAAAAGCAGCGACGATGCAGTCGCGAGAGAGATAGAGAATTTCGTGTAATTTTAAGCCGTTTTCACTCGAACAGAATTTTCATTTGAGAGAATTATTTGCAGAGGCACTTCTCATTTTTTTTTATAGCACAAGTGGAAAAAAAATGCGTTAAAAATTTAAACAAGAGAAAATGCGAGAAAATTACTTCGATTTTTTCTCTTTCACTTACACATCAAATAATGTGTATGTATATAATTCATATATTTTGTCATTAATTTCTTAATCGCATAATATTTCATCCTTATCGCTGAATGGCAATCGGCACGTCTGATTACGCCACTAATGTAAGCAAAAATCGACGACTGACATCCACCGGAAGCGCAAACTGAACAAACACGCCTGTTATTCTCGGTTTCGTAATGATCGATCATCCGGATCTCTGACGGATTCGGCGACAGAGTCGGTCTTCCTGTGACACTTTTTATTCCATTGTCCCTTTTATTCCATAGCAAAAATCTCTACTTTCCTGTTAAAAAAAGAAACCCCTCGCGCGAGTCCGGAATTCTCCGTTTTTACGGATGGACGGAAAAATAGATATCCTTCGTGAGACGCGAACACACGACGTGCCGTTTTGTGCGAGTGAAGATACGTGATGATAAAAGCGGATTTTTTTTACACGGACGAAATCACAATCTCTCCAGAGAAAAAAAATAATAATGAAAAAATGCTGATCCAACATTTTTACTGTTAACATTAAAAAGATTATTAAAACTTGTATTTTTCCAGTATCTCTCAACGTTCGATACATATATAGAGAAACTGTTAAAAATAAATGTACAGCATCAAACATCAGTTACATTGGCGTATATCAGTTGAAATTCGAAAAAGATAAATAAATCTTTCCATACTAATTTTTTTATAGTGATAACTGTATAACAGACAATGAAAATTACTTTGCTAACGAAACTCATTAAATGTTCTGAGAGAAATGCGATTAATTTGTAAATTAATCGCATATCGGCGTATGATTACATGTGTAATAACATTAAACTATGTATCATAATATTAAAACAAACAAAGAAAATTAACAGATTTCTGAAGAAAGAATTAAATCGCAGTGTACTTGTTAAAACACATCATTCTTTCTTTCTTATTTTTAGCACTTTTGTAAGGAATGTAGACTCGCTGTAAAAAGTCGGAATATTACATCATTTTTATATTTCTACGAATTTCGTGTAAAATGGAAAAGTAAACAATACTGATGAGTTATGCAACGTCTATAAATACTTCAGCAACTTAAAGAACCGTAGAAAGTGTAAATGGCTTTATCTAATTGAAACGTATAGTAAAATGTACATCTCGCAATCACCGACTTTCCGTCCAAAAAATTTGGAAATATATAATCTAAACTCTATAACTCGCACATTAAGAAATATAACATCTTAGAATGCAGTATACACAACCTTCCAAAATAACAAAATTATATAAAACAGATTATTTTAAATAGTAAATTATGTATATCATATGTATATTTTGCGTAAAAAGAATATTACTTTATTCTAGTTATAAAAGAGATATAATAAATATTCCTCCTTTATTTTGCATGTCTAAAAGAAAATACGAGTAACTATTTTATTTTCAAAAGTTGTTTTTTACCTTGTGTTTTTTCTCCGAAATTCTACATGATCACTACATGTGTGACTTAAAAAGAACAATCCGTCAAGTAGAGTGATGTCAAAGCTAAATTATTCAACAGATAAACGAAATATATACAGAGTAAACAATATTCAACGTACAAGACTTCAGAAATAAATCACTAAAAAACAACTCAATTTACTTTCAGCATTCATTAAGTGAATGAGACAAAGCAAAGCTGCGCTTTGAAATAAACAGTTATTTAAAAAATTGCGTCATAAGAATCGTCTTCTCGTCGTAACTTCGAGTACCGTCGAGATAGTTTTTCAATTAACCGAATAAACTTCTTGAAAGTCAATTGCCTAATTGAACTACATTTATATTCCGTATGATTTCGAAAGCAATTAACGAAATTACGAAATAGTTACGCAACTCCTGTATTTTTTTTTTAAATATTTGTATTATATATAATTGCATAATCTTGACATAAATTAAAAATGATTTTAATAACTATAATGCCGGAAATGTGATTGTAAATATTGATTTGATACTAAAGTTTGTTTCGCGTTTTCTGCGTTTTAACTCAAGTTATAAACTTCATACTTTAATTTTTAACGAGTAAACGTCACCTGAGTCGACAAACATTTAGATTAAATATACGTGCTTGTTACATAAGGATTTTAAAGTCACACGTTTATTATTCTTATGTGTATGTATATTTTGTATCAAACTTTTTAAATCTTTCCAAGATATTTGTTATCAATTTAAAATATAATCTCACTGGTTAATTAACGTTATTTGACATTTTTTTACAATTATTGCTGTATTGCTTAAAAATATATTATTGTAATTGTGCATACATAGCTGTTGTTATCACAAGATGTTTTTTAAATACAAAATTTTTCATCATTATTGTACTGATATTTAAAACAAATTCTTTTTATCTAATTTAGAATGAATTTTTTCTCCGCATAAATATCGAAGATCATAATTTTTTGCAATTTATTTTTAACATTACATGTCTATATAACTAAAAATTATAAATTTAAATTAGATGAAAGTTATTATATTAAGAAATCTACATAAAATTAATGGAATAATATAATTTTATCGGCCTAAAGCTTAAGTATACAAATTTTCTTTTTAATTAATATCTTTTTAATTAATATTAAATTATCTGAAAGCTATTAATAAACATTTTCATAGAAAAAAAATGATAACAGGACACTTTGTAAATAGTCCAAGATTTCTTCGTCAAATTTGTTGAGTAGCAAAAAAACATTATCTAAATTAGATATGATTAGATTAGATCAGATGATGTAAACACATAAATTACATAAATATTTTATTACAAAGTTATAATAAAAAATATAAAATATGGAAAAATGATATAAATGATGCCTCTCCTTTTATTATAGTTCTTTCCATCTTTTTTCTATACCACGTATCGTAAAATTTTTATCAAGAATACATTCGTCTCGATTTGATGCGCGTATATTTAATCGTAAATTTACGCGACGGCGCTGTATAAATCCCGGATATGCGTTTACAGAGGCAATAAGGGTCGTCACTTAGCATTGCTTACAAAGACGAGTCGATGAACAGTCGATATTAGCATTTCAGATGCGACTAAGTGCGCGGGATAATAATCCACGAAATGTACCGTAAGCAATTCTCTCCTAATAAGCGATTAAATTAAGTAAATATTAGTATAGAAGAAGAAGAATTAGTATGTAGATATTAGTATGTAAATTTTTAACCATGTAAATAAAAATCCCTCCATGTAAAAACAGCAAAATCGCTCATAATCTTCATCAAGCACATAATCATTCATCTTGTATTTACCAATTTTAATGTTTTATGTATATAATGTTTCTTTGCTTCAGAATAATTAAAAAATAAATAAATAATTTTAAAGAATATTCACTTATTAATTCACATGTTTTTAATATGACTAGAATAATAATTTTTTGAATAATTATATAATTCAATGTTTAATTTTTTGTTACGTGAGGATCATATGAAAAAGATTGATACAATAAAAATAAATACAGAGAAAAAAAAATAATTTAAGCTAATTTGAATTTAAACCTTCCTATACATAGAAGATTAAATTTCTGGCATAATTACAAAGCAATTTGAAAAATTTAAAACCTATTATAATTATATCAAATAATAATTAAATTATATTTTTTAAGTAATTAATAAAACTCCCTAAACTCAATTTCATGTGAACTTTATTCAATAAATTTTTAAAAACATTTGAATATTACAATAATGCGCAGCTGAATACACATACAACGATCGCAATTTCTTAAACAAACCAGAGATAATGATTAAAGTGCTTTACAGTGCTTAAATACTTTGTTTTTAATATTTTATCTTATTTGACAACAATAATTAAAATATTAATCGTATGTTCCTCCGGAAACGATTATTATTTATCGCGATTGCAATCACGAACACGAAAGTAACGTGGACGATAATTCACGATATTATCACGAGAAGTTTAGCGTTTTAAATTTTTCACAGAAGTCTTTTCTTTTACAAAGAAGCACGTCGCCAAAACGCACGAGAGCTCGTTTCTCGTCGCCGGTTGACCTAGAAAAATAAATCGAGCCATGCGATGCGAAATCGGAGCGCGCATTTTCTCTATCACACTTTTATTTTAACACGCAATCGCATCCAACATCCATTGTAATGACTCTCATCGTCATAGATCATTTCGTGAGCGTAGCTTATTCAGCTATCGTACATAAACATAACATCCGCGTGCGCATAATGTTTTTAATGGAGTGAATACAATATAAATGCATACATAAATGCAACAATTGCAGCGCAGTTTATTATGATAATTAGTTATTTATCTCACAGTTCTCGCACATAATGAAATAAACGAGCTTTTCGCGGATATTAATGTTGACAAAAGTAAAAATTATTTAAATGATGATTTATTATAATTTTATTTATTTATTTATTTAAATGATGTTTTTAAAAATATTTAGTAAATTGATTTCACGATTTAGCGTGTAATATTTTTTTTTAATACACGAAAAAAATACACGAAAAAAAATATTATAAAAATACTTATTCATTTAACAAATATTTATTAATTATAAAAATACTTGCTATTTATATAAATACAATAAATAAATAAATAAACAAAACGCATAATTTCTAATCGTCTCACAAGGGAGTACCGTAAGTAAAAAAATAATTAATTCAATAAAAATAATACGGAATAAATATCACGTTAAACCCTACATCCTTACCTTTGAATACTACCGAAAAGATTCTCGCCACATGAAAGTCGTCACAATGCGATGACAACTTGCGATCCGCGAATAAGACCCCAATGAGCGTCTTTGATGTTACAACCTGCCGCGAGCACGAGTTCCCGTGCGTGGGTAGCGTTACGTATGACGCGTGCACCTTGACACACGACAGCAAGCCGGAAGAACGGAGCACGTCCTGCCTCAACGGCGTGCGAGACTAAAAGTGGAAGGTGGTGAACGCGAACGACCGAACGACAGCCGACGGCGACGGCGTCGCTACCAACTGGCGGACTCTGCGCGCGCCTGCTGTATAAGTCCGACGTTGCGACTGCACTCCGGACCGACCAGAGATGCGCGTTGATTGGTCCACGAGTCGACGGCGCAGCGTGGTCGCGGCGACTACACGTCAAAGCTATGATTGTGACGTATGATTCATCCACAATGTAACAATAAATACATAAAAGCGTTTACTGCATTCCAAGGATTTAATCTCCTTATTTTTTTATGTAAGCGTATTGTCTTCATCTCAGCATCTCTTCATGTCAGCATCTTTATCTAATCTGTGTTATCTTCAAGTTTCCTTCGAGCACCTTCGAAAGCTTCTTTTATAAATGTTAGGGAATGTTAGGGAAAAGAGCAGGAGGATTCCAATTTTTGGAGTCGCAAATTCTTTTTGTTGTTTTTTTAAGGGCTTACATATGAGTAAAATTTTGAAAAAATCGATTTTTCTTTTTCTGCATTTCTTGAAAGTATGTGGTTTCAAGAATAGTGTTAAAATTATTAAGAAATTCGAAGAATTGTAGAAATTACGGAGAATTTACTTAAACAGATGCTTTATCTAATTAGCAACGATCAGATTAAAAAAAGTTTTTTACAAATGTTTAAAAAATGCATTGTTAACTTGAAAAAATAGATCAAAAATCGATTTAAAACTTCAAGCAGCCATCATTTTGCGAATTTTTTTTGGCTCGTAGCTAACTGTCTTGTATATCTAATTGTCACTAATTAGAAATTCAATGCCTATTTTTGTCCCAGATAACATAACAACTCAAAATGGTGAACACTGCAAAAGACGTTTTTAAAAACGGGGTTTATGCTAACGCTAATAAACAATATTAAATGTTGATAGACTTTAATAAAAAAATTCACAAACATATTAGAATACATGCTCTTTTTACCAAAAAAAAGTTTTTGAATAAAGTAATTATTTCTCGAGAAAAAAATTCCTAAAAAATGATCACTTTTTTGCCCGTCTACTCATATGTAAGCCCTTAAAGGTCAATTTTCTTAAAGTTCAAGATTTTGAAAATGTGTTTTATTGAAAATATTTCAGTAAAACTTACAAGATTTACCAAGTTAAATATTAATATATTATAAGTTATATTTTTAGTTATATTGTATTAGTTATATTTATAGAAAGAGCATCTCGCGCACATATATAAAGATAAAAATACGCTTGCATCTTGCATCCTTACATGTCTTTTCTTTGAAAGATGTTTAGACTGTACTATTTTTAATATATGCACACACACAATAAGTATTTATATCTATTGTGCACTCTCTCAAGCTCCAATATTTTCATATATATTGTTATTATTATAATAATAAGTGATTAATTTAACAAAAGAGTGTTTAATATCTGCTGTCGTGTTCTGTATAAGACTATTTTAGTGCTAAAATATAAAAAAATACGTTAGATAAACAAGAATTTTGTGACGCAATAAACTTATCGCTGAGAGCTCTCTCTCTCTCTCTCTCTCTCTCTGTATATATATATATATATATATATATATATATATATATATGTTTATATAGGTATATATACACACGAGTCTCTGCAATATTGAAAAATTTTTTAAATCCTGACTGTTAGTCTACTGCATATTTTGCATTTTTTTCGATAATTAATGAATTTACAAGCAAAGATTTATCAAAGAAGTGCTTAAAAACACACATATAAAATACATAATAAAAATTTTTACGCATTTTTGCTTTTAGATGTTTATATTGTGAGTCAGAAACGAATAGGAAAGCCAAAGTCTTTGCTTTTCAACGAGAATTACGTGTCAATATTGAATTAATATCTGTAATGAAAATCACTCTATTGAATCGCAAACAAAAGCTTATGTTAATGCATGACATGGGACATCGAGAGAACTATACAATGGACGTTCGACGCGTCGAAAAAAATATAGAACTAAAGACTGCTACCAGCAATAAAGTTTTGAGGAAAAAAGAATATCTCTTTTTTATCATAGAAAATATAACGTTTAAATTAACGTTAAAAAAATAAATCCGATCTCTCATTTACCTTAAACATTACCGCAAAAATACACATTTTTCGAGAAACCATGTTTTTTAAATTGATTCATATAATTTCTTGAAAATCAAATAAAATTTTACAGAAACATAAAATGTATATTTCCTTATCATTCTTAAATTATGGATAAGTTTATTATAGAATTTAATAAAATTTTAAATTCTTTTTGCGTAACTTTTAGGAAATCTTTTCTGAAAATAATTACTAATTATATCTCTATGATTTTTAAATCTGACATGTATAATTATTAATTTCAATGTTACTTTTTTTGTACAAAAATGATTTTCTTTTTTAAATAGAGAAATGACTGTGTGCTGATGATGTATTTTATGTTCATGTAAAATTTTAGTGATTAGTTTGTTTTCGTGAAACCATATAAACTAATTTAGAAAATATGTTTTCAAGAAAAATATATTTAAAAACTTTACGTAAAAAATTGTAGATCACAGATAAAGTAGATAAATTAAAGTTACTATTACTATGAAAAAAATTATGTCATGATTATATAATATATCCTCTTCTCCCCCTTATTTCCCGCTAAAAAACTGCCTCAGTTATATAAAATATTAGCTTAAATATTTAGTAAAATATTTAGCTTTCATTTTGATAATGCTGCCGTTCAATTTTTTTAAAACGCTCCATGTTTCCCGGATATGCTTCTATCTGTAAACTAATGATTTTATTTTCATTATACGTAATATATAAATAGCTAAGTTATTTTAATCCTTCCTGGCTCACAATATCATTGTTTAGGGGCGAAAATTCAAATCGATACATTTAAACTATTATTTTTATTTTGTGTGTTGTTTCTATAGTAAGCATATTTAATAAATTTTTAATTCATTAATTGTTAAAAAATTGTAGAAAAGATTCAATACGCTACAGCTATGTTTTTTATTGAATAAAATGTTTCGCATTTTTTTCCATTTTTCTCTAGAAATATACTTGTCAAAATAATAAATCTGTCATGAAAAATTCCTTTTACTTTGCTTTCTGAATTCTTTTAGAGGATATTTCAATTTTCTAATATGTATTTCTTCATCAATTTTTGGCATTCAGATGAAATCATGTTTGTTTTACTTGAGAGTATATTAAATTGTTTCTTAAGTAGTTATTTTAGAAGATTTTTGAACTTGGAGTAGACAACCACATGTGTATTTTATAAAAATTAATATTACGATTAGATACTGCCCAGCACAACTCTTTGAAGGAAAACAAGTTGACGAATCAATATATTTATTTTTATCTGTTTACTGCTTTCTGCAAAGTAATATAAGTTTGTAGATTTCTAAATTTCGTAAAAATTAAAAAAAATATTTTAAAAATTTCAGAACTTTATATTTTTTAAACTTCAAAAATGTCAATAAAAGTGTACAGTAAAAAATTTTTACAACTGGATAAATTGAGAACGTTTTTAAATCTCAAGAATATACTCTAAAAAATATAGAAATAACAAAAATAAATGTATATAAAGTTATAAAAATATAAAGTTAGAAAAGTTTGGACAGATTGGAATACATCTTTGCGTAGCTTTTTTCGCATATATTTAAAAAATAAAAATACTTCTAGAATTTAAAATAGAAAACTTTTAAGAATTTTATTAATGTTATATTTACTATTTATTAGCATTTTAATAGTAATTCGTAAGTTATATTTTATAAAGTATAAAAGTACAAAAATAAATCTTTCAAGATATTTTTCCATTCTCGCATACCTATCGCTATACATTCATTTTATTGATACATATATACGTGAATTTTCCGAGAAAATGTTTATTTCTTTTCATAAAATAAATGTATGTTTTCTTTATATTATATCGCACTATTTGTAGTTCGGATGAAAATTTCCAAAAATAATATCTCAATGTAAAAAAATAAATTATTACTTTAAAAATTAATTCGAAAGATATGAAGTTAATAATATACACTCAATTGTATAGAAAGGAAATCATAATAGAATCTCTATTCAATTCAAGTATCAAAGTTTACAATATAATTTTTAGATCTCTTTGTGAATGCGATCTGCGTTATAAATTGCGCGTTTGCGTGAATCTCATTACGTAATACGCGATATCAATATATCTTGGTCAAAGATAAGAAACTATTTTTATAAATATTTTGAGCCATAAACGTCGAATCCTATGGAACAAATTGAAAAAAATCAATTATCATATGAAAGAGAAAAAAGAGACACACACAGAAAGAGAAAGAGAAGGCAAAGAAACGATGTACACCGGATAGAAGCAATATCCGTGATTCGTTTTAAAGAGGCCACTCGCTTTGAGCTCGATTTTGTCCAAGAATAATATAACGACGGCAATTTTTACGGTAGCGTGTTATCGTTCGAGCGGCAATACGAATATTTTTTCCATTATTTGCGTAAAGGTCTTATCATTCTTCCATTTTCCTTGATTTTCTCTTTTTTTGTTAACTTGCCTTAAAGATAAGATCACCTGAGAAAATGTAAAAGAGAAAATTGCTCACTATACGCTAATGTATACAAGAACAATGATAGCAATTAAAAAAAAAAAAAAAAAAACGAAATAAGCATATGTAATACGTTTACTTAAAATTAAAAAAAGATAAAAAAATGTTTAAGAATTATTTATTTATAGAAAAAATTATTAAAAAGAAATATAAATTATTTATTTTAATTTTTAGCAATATTCGTTAGATTATTATTTATATTTATTATTTATATTTATTATTATTTTATTATAATATATCATATATTATTTGTTACATAGAAGATTAAATAATTCAATATCTATTGCTTGTTGCTTTAAATATAAATAAAATATAGTTAAAAAAATATATTTTATTGAATAATCTAAATTTAAAACAATTGTTTTAGATTAATTTATTTTGTTTAAGTAAAAATACTAATAAATACGTAA